CTCTTTGAGATGTACCTATACGCTTATTGCCATAAGCTAAGAATGTTAAATAAACATTAGTGTTAAACGATTTATTTAGTAAACGTTTTTTATCAAGTCATCAAGAAAGAACTGATAATTTTTTTGTGTGTAATTCATAACTTAAGTGAAGGTTAACAAACATTGTCGGCTGTCTTCTCGATTAATTTTTACTTGACGTAGGTCGTACGTCCAAAAGTATAGCTTATTGACGTACGTTGTATGTCTACTGGGGCTGAAAGTGTTAAAGCAGATGGTTTGTTTAAATTCTAAAAAACGAAAAAAAAAAGTCATCTTATAATTCTATAAAATAAGTGCTTCTGTCGAGCTTCTAAAAAAAGTCATCAGCTTATAATGAACCAGGCCCTTCTATCGAGCTCCTAAAAAGGCAATTAATGCCTAAATGCAATTTTGTTACTGAAAAATGTATAGTTTGACGTAGGCGGGCCAAACTGGTCAACAGACAAAGAGCCCCGAAAACGGCAATGGCGGGCCGTATGTTGTGCAGGCTTGCTTTATAAGATAGTTCGAGTCGACCATCAGTTCGACAAAAGTCACTCCGTCTGTTTTAGCACTAAGGCTATTCGTATGTTATTCATGTCACCATTAAAGAAAAACTGCGTTAAATTCTCTGAATGTTTACTCTATATAAATTTACAACTGAAAACAGTTCCCTAATCAGTAAAACATTAAGATAATGAAAGTATATAATTGTTTTCACTTAAATTTTAACAACACGGAAATCATTTTGTTTAAATTGATTTTAGTGAATCAAAAAGATTATACCATAATATATGATGAGTCTGAAATGGTAAAAATTAAGCAAGAATTTAGCAGTCCCTATTATAAATAAAATAAAAACAAATATATAAACAAAAGGGTAAACAGTCAATTTTTTTACCTTTTCCTAAATAATTTCACCTTACAACAAACACAAATGCTTCAGGTTCATTCGTAATTTCTTCTGTACACTCAATATTATACAACCTTTGATAATTACGTACTCTGCTTTGTGCATTTGATTCTATAAATTTTGCTGAAGAATAATTGACAAGTGATCAAATAATCACATGTCAATAATACTATTTAAAAATATACTAAATTAAATTACAAATAAATCTGAAGTGTGTCTGCAAAACAAAAAATTGTCAATATCGTTATTATAAATACAATAAGGTAAAATCTAACAAAATCTGCGCATGACTTTTATTGCATCACAATTCTATTCAATAAATTAATGGTTAATGAATCACAAGTTCGTTTTCTTAAAAAAATAATAAATTACCTACGTGTATCATGCTCAGATCCTTTTGACTATGTACGGTCATTTTAAAAATTATTTCTGATTCTATACATCACAATTTTGGTTTTTTCTCTATTTTGAGAGGAAATTCGCGAGAATATTTACCTAATTTAAATCGAATAAATCCCAAATTAAAAATTCGGATAATATAAATATCCCGGTTAGCACAGAATTCACAATATTTCTGACCTATATATTGTTGGTAAACATCAGAAACAATAAAAAAATGTATATAGACATTATTTATCCTAAATTACTGGTCTGGTTTTAGGTAGGATAGTATTTGACTTTGAAGTTCAAAATGACAAAAACGTAGCAACCTGATTACTAAGAATGAGTTATTATTATTATTATATGGGGAACAATCAACAAATCAGGCACCAAACAAAATTTGATTTCTAAAATAACGAGATTTTATGGTATCGATAGGAAACAAAAGTATATTTCTCAAGATCGAGTTTTATATTAAAATTGTATACGATTCACAAGTGCATTGAACAATCCATTTTACTCTATAATAGGACTAATATTTAATGTTTTTTTTTTTAAATTGTAATACTTCCCATATACAGTAGATGGAGCGAAATGTTTTAAACGAGATTATCACAAAATATAATTTTCAGTGGAAATGTTAAGTTTCGAGGCCCTGCGTTGTGGCTCTCGGACTATACATATTTTATTCTCTTCATCTAACATGTTTCAATATAGTAGGAGGAGCACACTGCAAATTTCGGACGTCATGTGATAACGAAATGAAATATGTTCCAAAGGCATGTACAACATTGTATTTTACCAAATAACACCTGTACCAATCACTATTCTAAATGTTAAAAAAAATTCATATTAAAAAAAATCACATGACATGACAGCGATAATTTTGTTTGTCCTGAAAATTACAATCTTAATTTATTGTGAACCTACCTTTTAAAACTGAATTATTATTTTTACCTACCTTTTAAACGATGGGTTTCTGAAAGGAAGAAGAATGGCGTTGGATAAACCATTTGCACAGATAGTGAATAATAATAAATGGTTAGACAATTGTTTTAAACAATAATCATAGTAGTTTTTTTGTCGTTTCTATGATAACCTAGTGTATAAATGGTTTTTATCTATTAATCATGGATAGATGTTTTTTGTAGAATGTTGAAACGAAGAAAGTGTTTCCCTTTAACGACGCACTCAATAAATATTTGAATTTATTTTCTGGAAATATTTAGGACAAACAAAATTATAAATGTGATTTTTTGAATATAACATATTTTTTTAACTACTTTGCCCAGAATAGTTATTTCCACATGGTGCCTATTCTTGAAATTGGGGAGTGAGAAATATTGAGAGAAAATTCTCACTTTTTTAGGTCCCCTGAATTCGTTTTTTTTTTTTTAATTACTTTGCTCAGGATATTGATTGCTATTCTTGAAATTGGGGACTGATAAATATTGATAGAAAATTCTCACTTTCTACTCCCTTGTAAAAATTTGTATTCTTGAAATCGAATTTTACAAAATTGGTGGAGAATTTTCTCTCAAAACTTTCTCCTACTTTTAGGTAGAGAAAATGAAAATAAGAGAATGCGCAGTGCGTAGCAGAATTTAAATAAATAAAAATCATTATATTACTATAACCTCATTGATGCTGTTAGTAGTTTTCAGGTATATTTATACATTTGAATTATTTACTTTCCATTTAAAATGGATTTAGACGCGAAATTAATAAACTGCTAAGAGAAACCTCTCAATTTGTGTACATTGGAGGGTCATCGCCCTATTATACAATCCAACGTCATTTCTGAATCTTCGACGATTTGAAAATTATTTCTTTTTCTTCTTCCTTTATTGGGCTATATCCTACAGGATAATTATTTAAGGTAACCTAAGTTAATTTATTAATTTGTAGTGTATAAGACCAAAAAAGATGTGTAAAAAAAATACATAATATTCATATTCTGAATAAACATAAATGTTGTCATTTTTTAAATAAACACACCAAAACTCTTTCTTCTTCTTCTTTAGTGCTATTTGGGCTCAATTCTTCCAAATTGGTTACCCAATGCTATTTTTGATTCTATTCAATTCATGAAAAAAGCTGCACTCTTATGCGTCTGACCACTGTCATCACTATTTTCACTTCACTTGATATTTAACTTAAAATATGTTTTGCAATTTATAAACTTAATGGTCTAATAACTTTTACTAAAAATTGGTCACTTTTAATGTATATTTTAATATAACTGCCATTTCGATGTTGACAAGACTCTGACCTAATCGGAAATCCATTTAAAAACCCAAAAACAATAATACTCTTCTTTTCCTTTTTTACTTGCGAATGATTTACCCAATATGACAAACTGGATTCCAAGTCTATATCCAGGAAGCAAGTCATATGGGACACATTTTATTTAAAGAACCATAGATCGTGACAATGTTATGAATTCAACGATCACGATCATGACTGGTAGCTCCTTTGTCATCACTGTTGCCATTTCCCTTGGTATTTAACTTATTGTCCAATATGGCAATTTAGCAGAATTTTAAAAGTCAGATAGTCACTTAAATAATGGATATTTTATCATAAAAAGTTTAACAATACACTTGAGTGACTAATAACCTTACTAAATATATTATTGTCAAAACACTCCCAATAGTTTTTGTCAACCGTCCACCATTTAAAGTCAGGTGATTTGGAATGCTTAAGCAATCGACTTTAAATGGTGGAAGATTAGGAAAAACAACAAAAGTGAGTGTTTTGTGTCAATAACGATTCTAGAGAGGTTATTAAGCATGTGTATTGTTTGGTTTTTAGTTTTCTTTTTTTCAGTGTGCTTAGTTTAAAAATGACAAACATTCATATTCATTACGAACGTATGAATGAATGTCAAATACTAATGAAAAAGTCAGGTCAACAAACTTTGTTTTTTCCAATTGTCGGTCACTTTTTCCCATTTTGACAGGGTTGATTTGATGGCTGAAACAGACTCACCTGTGTTCATCTGCAAAAGTATCTTGAATCAGCCGTTCGGGTGCCCATACATCTCATGATTATCTAGCAGTATTCCGATATATCTAGTACTAGTGGTTATAAGTGACTGCTCCTTAAATCGTTAGATTTTAGCTACATGTGAATGTTAATTTAAAAAAAAAAAATAGTATATATCTAATAAATTTTCAAAACCACAATTTATTCCATTCTCAAATACTATCCATCTAATCACTAGACCAGAATCTGTTTTTAAGCTAATACATCACTGATGTATATTTTGTTTCCCTAACTCCTATAAATGTTTACTAACAATTTAAACGTTTTCTTCTCCTTTTTTAAATATGGTGAATACAGGACGTTTTTCCCAAAATAAAAGTAATCTAAACCTACCTAACTGTCTTTTCAAATTAAATAAATATCCTAAAAACACCGGATCGTTTGGGAAAGGCAAAGAATATCGCGGTATATTTTGTTTATTCTATCGACGGCCTTTCCCGCACCTGGTTAACGGTTTTTTTTTTGGGAACCATCTTATATATAAAAAAATATATACGATATATGTACAAGAACTTAAAATGAACGTACATATTGAATGTATGTATAGACGTTGTCGTTTGATATAAGTAAGGAAGCAGCGCTGTCTCTCGCTAATGAACTGTTTTAATTACTTTTAGTAATTATTATCCACGTAGAAAGATCAAAACTTGAAACCGTCGTTCGGGACGTTTGTGTTCGGATCGAACGTGAAGCCTGATTCGCCTGTAGACGGCGCCACGTTAGAATCTTCAACCTCCTGAAAAAATAAATTAAGTGTCATAGAATGTCTACCATAAATAATATAAAAAAAAACTATTGGTCTACATTACAACAGTTGCTCCATTAACAACACAAAGTGCGTTTTCCTTTGGGGTTTGGTTAGGGTTCTAGTTAACCAAATTAGATTCAACCTTGTTCTTTTCATAAACAATGACGTCATTAATGATTATTTATTTAATATTTTCGAAGCAACCTTGTGAATCGGTTCGAATTTATGGTATGTTCTACTCTAATTTATTAGTACTGATCATCTAACTCTTTTGAATTTAGTTTTCCAGCGAAACAAAAAAAAAGATCTTAGCTGACACTTTTATTATAAAATAAATATTAATGAAGATAAAATGGAATCAGTAGATTTTTTTTTTAATAATACAATTGAATGCATTCGTTATTTATTAGTATGTATAAAATAATTTTATTATTACAAACAATAGAAATGAGACAAAACAAAATATTGATAACTAACTTCAAAAATGAAACTTGACGTGTTATCTATTATAGTGAGAAATGGCTGACCAAACTGATGATCCATTTATTCTATTGGCTTTATCTCAAGACATCATCAATACAAAACAAAATCTGAACCACTGTCATTTTAACGTCAACCATAACAACAAGTACCTAACCTCCAAAGGTTTTTAAATTAAACAATTTTTGTAGGATTATTATATAATATTTATAATCCAATAATTCGAATGATGCTCCTTATTGAGACTGAGGTCCAACGGGCAAATTGGTAGTATAAAAGAAACGAGAAAACGATTTTATTTTGAGCCAAAGATGATGAGAAATATTAAGATGTTGAATTTTCAGTTTTGTGAAGTATTGGCGTTACTTAGACTAAACGACGTTTCAGCAATTATATAAAAATATTTGGGCCTTTTTTTTTAGTTTAATATTGACTTTGTCATAAATTTTTACATTTTTCTAGGACATTTTATTTTTTCTAATACCCTGCTATATCGCAAATTTTGCTATTTCCAACCTCATATATGGACAAGTCCATAGTATAAGGTGGGAAATATGATTTAAGGAACGTCCTTTCACCTTTAAATCTGCTGATGTAGACATATTTGGGCCCCTTGCCCCTTAAGTCGGCCCATATAAAATTATTTGATTTATTTATACTTCAAGCCTGCCCATGTAAAAATATTTGGGTCCTTTGCCCTTTAAACTTTACCATGTAAAAATATCTACTGCCTTTACTCCATATGCCTGCCCAAATAAAAATATTTGGTCCCTTTTCCTCTTAAGCCTATCCATGTAAAAATATTTGGTACCTTTATCCCTTAAGCCTCCTTTATAAAAATGTTTGGTTCGTTTACCACTTATGTCGTCTGTGTAAAAAAATTTGGGCCATTTATCCCCTAATCCTGTGCAAGAAAAAGATCTGGACCCTTTACGCCTCTTTAAGCTTACCCATATAAAACTATTTGGACCTTCTATTCCTCAGATATATCTAAGTAAAAGTAATTGGCCCTGTTACACTGTAAACCTGCCCATGCGAAAATATTTACCCTGTTACCACTTAAGCTCACCTGCATAAAATAAATTTGGTATCTTTACCCTTAAGCCTGCCCTTGCAAAAACAATATTTGGGCCCTTTACCATTTTGATCCTTACATCAAATTCAGATACGAGTTCCATTTTGAAGTTCGTAAAAGGTTCTGCAAACTCGATTCACGTGAACAGACACTTTTAGCGTTATATCACAATATTTAGTTCAATTTTTTTTCAAAAATATTACCATATTTTGAAGAAAGTTAATAAATTATTAAATAATGTTTAAGGTATTTTATTTTTTTTATGAGAAACAATAACATGAGTTGCTCTTTCATAATTTATAATATGAAGAAAAATGAACAATGTTAAAAGGGGTTTGTTTGTGATGATTATTTGTATGTTTTATTAAAGTTAACTTAAGGAGGTCCTTTCGCCACACCTCTCGCCTCAAATGTTAAAAAAAAAGTTATTAGATTATGACTAAAATTAATTTTTTTCTAATAGTTGAAGTCCTTATTTATCTAATACTGAACCTATACCTTACCTTGCACATTTTTGAGAATTTTTTTTTAAAAATGTGAGTATTTGTACAGTGCCTCACGAGAAAGTAAGTCCTCAACAACAATTCTCGAATTATACTATTATTTATTGATTAGATGAAGTAGAAAAAAAACTAAAAATAAGGTTTTTGAAATATTTAGATATTGTTTTATACAATAAAATATATATAGTAAACCGTGGAACTTATTGAGAAATTAATATTAAAAAATCACAAAAAATTTTCAAGTAACCTAGTTGAAATTTTTTTGTGATTTTTTAATAATAATTTCTCAATAAATTCCACGATAACCTATATATTTTATTGTAAAAAACAAAACCTAAATATTTCAAAAACCTTATTTTTAGTTTTTTTCAATAAATAATAGTAAAATTAACTATAATTCGAAAATTGTTGTTGAAGTCTTACTTTCTCATAAGACACTGTACACACATTAAAAAAAAAAAAAATTCTCAAAAATTTGCACGGTAAGGTATAGTTAAAAGTTCACTATTAGATAAATAAGGACATCTACTATTAGAAAAAACTTATTTTAGTCATAATCTAATATTTTTTATTTAACATTGGTGGCGAAAGGACCTCCTTAAGATTAAATTAACTACATTTATGAATAAATTTAAAAATATCATACTATTTTTAATTGCGTCGTTGTTCTTGTCAATCAGCGATACTATGAAATTAATAGTGCATAAAATAAGAAATGCATTGCATTTAAAAATTATTGATATTTAAAGCACTAAAGTTAAACAGAAAATTATGTAAATCAACAGGATTCTCAGAAGAAATTATCAAAGAAATTGGGGCTGAAGAACTTCTGTTGCAGAATGAATTAATTTCATTTTTTAAATAGTCGCATATTTGTATCAAATCGCTTATTTCTAACTTTGACCACACCAGCGCTTCATGAATGTAAAACCAGTGAAGCGGCCTTGCATCAGAACAAGTGAATTAATTGCTTTTACACACTTCGATGTGCCGTGTGTGTCACCATACTTGCTGACGCGAATACTGATACGACTGTTACATAATTACAACCATCATAAACGGGCCCGATCCTAAATGTGCTTATACTAGAGATGATCTTAGTCGCGAATATTCATTCGCAGTTGTTACTGTGAATGCCATTTATAATTCACTGTGAATATAAACTGCGAATGCTAACTGCGAATGACGTCATGATTTCGCTGCCTTGCACATTACTTATAGCGTTATCGCAAATTGAAAATTAATGCAGCGATCTGCTGAGTGTCGAGTCTGGGTATAATATTTTAATAAGTTATATTATTCTATAAGAAAATTAAAATATAATAAAACATTAGTGTATATAGCAAATACTAGTCAAAATCGCTGCCAATCGACCAATGAATAGACTCGACGCGATGAAAAACGCGAAGTTGCGATCACAGTAGACATAGCTCAGCAATGAGCAAAGTCAGCAAACGTGATTGAAGACGTGAACGCGGTCGTTTACATTTTACTTTTCGGTTAATGAGTTTAAAGAACTGTTCTGTTGTTCGCTCAATGACGGTTTGTAGTCGCGATCGCGCTATTCGCAGTTTATTTTATAATAGATAGCAGATTGCGATTTTTCATTCGCAGTGAATATTTAGCAGTTCGCGATTTATTGCCCATCTCTAGCTTATACCTCTGCTACTAAAAATTTTAACCATCCTCTGGCTGAACACACAATATGAAGGTAAGCGAATTTGAGAAACATTTCCTTTTTTTGACTGTTTCACAACCAGCCCCTTTGGGCAGTATTAACTTATTCAATCTAATACAACTTCGGTCAATTGGCCAGTTGGGTAATAAAGTTTTAGAGTTATCGTGCCGGCGCACTTACATAGACGAAAATATATTTTTTTTCTCTTTGAATTTATAATAATAGGAAACGTGTAGTAAAGTGTTAAAACTTTGGAGCAAGAAATTTTTTCATTGGTATGAATGAAATACTACACACAGTCTATAAGTCTATCATTAACAAAATATCAATACATAACAAAAGTTTTTGCAAAATTTCCGTAAATATGACATCTAAATTATTATTCTCCAAATGATTAACTCATTATTTATCAATTTAATTACCTCTCCTCCGAAAAATTGTTCGATAATCTCGTACGCCAGCTTGTAGATATCGATATTATCGTGATTTTGGAGGGCCTCAATCTTGTCCAAACCGTTGCATTCCTCGATCATGGTGCACAGTTGTTCGACCTGAGAGCCCGCCATTTTGAGCATATTGTTAATACCGTCGAGAACGACCTGTATAACCATGGCATCCTTGCAGTTAAGGAGATCGCAGAACGGAGGTATGACTCCCTCCTGTATGAGCCGAGCCACTTGTTCTTTGCAACCGCCTATCGTTAGATTGCTGATGGCCCAAGCGGCCTCTTTCTGTGTTTGGAAATCTCCTTTGCTGAGGTTGAGAATTATTTTTGGAAGGAGACCTAAAAAAATAAAGAGAATATTGTCAATTTCTTACCTTTTTATAAATATTGAATATCAAACATCAGTATAGAAAGCTGGAAACTTCAAGGAATAACCCTAATAATCAAAATTAAACACCAAAAATTTTAATTGACAACAAAATTGTAACTGATAAATACATATTATGTAATCACTTTAATAAATTTTTCTTGGATACCAAGGCACAAAAACCACACACAAAGGTGCTGGATCTGCATCCTCATTCAATTTATACTTTCTTTCTCACCCCAACTACACCATATGAGAAAACTATATCTAAAACGACTAAAAAAAAAACGGTAAAGTATTTTACCCAGAACTTCCCTCAATATAGAAATTGTAAAAGCAGGGAACTCCTAAGCACTTAAATAAATAATAACCAAAATCCCTTTTTCACATTTCTCTCCATCGATCTTTCTCTAGATCAGGCCTGCACAACTGAGAATTTAAAAGGGCAAGTTCAAAAACCGTAAATGTACGAGGGCCAAGAAAGACCTAAGCTTATAAATTTATAAAGCAGGTCCCCACCTTATAATTTTATAAACAAAGGGCTTTTGTCGAGCCTCTGAAAAAAAAATTATAAATCAAGGCAAGCCACTGAGATGATCGTTCCTAGACAAACAAGTCAAAATTAGATTGACTGTTGTCATTTTTGAAGACTGTATTTTTCTCTACTTTCAACACCCAATTTTATAATAATTTAAATAAATAATATACACTATTTATAAATAAAGCTTAACTATTCTGTTTTTTACTACTTCAATCAGAAACTTAATTTATCAGAAAAAAAAGTGATTAATAATAAAAAAAGTCAAAGAGAAAACCTCTAACAAAAAATGTCAGTTTTGTCCTATGAGTGACTCTGGGGTGGAAGAATGCAAAAGGCGTTTAAATATTCTATTCACAATGAGCAGAGTGGATAATAGGTTTTGGGATAGTTATAAAAAGGTAAAGAAAGAGTATAACAATAAACTATTAGAGAAAGCATTTGGAAAACAAATATCTGACTCGGACAATAAAGCTAAAACAACATGGCAAATAGTGAGTAATATAGATGGCAAAAATAACCAATAACAGATGTAATTTCTGGCCTAAGTAATAGTAATTATGTAAGTGCAATATCTAGTAACTTAAAGTCTATATATGTAATACCAGTAACTGCAATGGAAATTGTAGAGATTGGGAAGAAACTTAAAAATAAGATGAGTAGTGGTATAGATGAGGTACCAATAAAAATTATTAAAAAATGTATTGAGCAAATTGTGAATCCACTAGTATATATGATAAATAACTCTTTTCGATTTGGGGTGTTTCCTGATCAATTAAAAATAGCCTGCATATAGTGATGGGTAACCGGGAAATTTCCCAGGCGAATTTCCACTGGGAACGGGAAAATTTCCGGGAATTTCCCCAAACCCTAATTCCCGGGAAAAAAAAAACGGGAATTTTTCTAGAAATAGCAGAATTCATACAATTACGTAATATTAGATGCATTTTTTTTAAATCAGACAACACTGTTGACTGTTACCTCTTTGTTTATATAGAGAAAGTAAAAGTTGAAAAGTCTTTTGGTAGGTATAGAGGGGGTAAACGTCAAACCACGTCGGGCGGCTCCGAGAATTTCGCAGTAATATTTACCGGCCAGTGTCGTTTCATAGAATAAGTAATTATAAATTGTTATCGGCGGAACCGGACAATCACATGTATTTATGGATTATAAATAATTATTAAACATGTATTATAATATTCAAATCATAATTTTACAAAATTTCAACAGCTATTCACAATTTATTAAACTATTTACTCGAAATTGTTATTAACATCTATAAAATAATTTTGTACGCCAATGTATCGCATCCACTTCGGTGAAATCCGCTGCCAACCTGTCAATTTATGTGTATAAAGTGGGAGAACTGGCAAAAGCATTTCCAACTTTTACTTCTGTTCTACTTTTAGACATGTCAGGACTTATAGTCGCGTCTGGCTGACTGCTGACTCAGCTCAGTTGGTATTATAAAAATTGTAGGTGTTAGTTGTGCATTATTGTCTCTAAACTAAATTTTTATTTTGATTGCGTCTTGCGTAATGAATAGATGGAATGGAAAATAAGCTGAAATTCACAAAAATGTATCAGGAATTCTTGGGGAAATTCCCGAACACGTTGTTCCCGGAAATTTGCCCATCACTACCTGCATAGTACCTGTTTTCAAAAAAGGTGACGTAAAAAAGGTGGAGAACTACAGACCAATTAGTCTTTTAAATTCTTTCTCAAAAATGTTTGAAGCAGCAATGTGTAAAAGGGTATCAGAATTTGTTATGACCTGTAACTTATTAAGTAAAAATCAACACGGTTACCAGCATGGGAAATCTACTCAAATGGCAATTTTCGAGTTTGTTCAGCATGTTCTAGGTATCTAGGTGATCTGGAGAATGGTAGGCTGGCTATGGGCCTATTCTTGGACTTGTCCAAAGCCTACGATTGTCTAGCTAGACCATGGGATAGTGCTGAACAAGCTGGAGAAATATGGAATTAGGGGGCCTGCATTAGGGTAGTTCAAATCATATCTTAAGGATAGGAAACAGGTTGTCAAAATATATAAAAATAATGAGGAAGGTAGATCTGTAGAAATAACATCTAATATAGGAATACCTCAGGGAAGTATAGTAGGTCCATTGATTTTTATTATTTATGTGAATGAACTAAACAGCGTTATGATTGCTAAGGAGAACTGTGTGCTAACCAATTATGCAGATGACACAAATATCTTAATAAATGCATCTAATATGATGGAATTAACCCTAAATGCAGAGAGAGAGAGAGAGAGAGAGAGAGAGAGAGAGAGAGAGAAAAATAACTAAAGCTAAAAAATGGTGTGAAATAAATAAATTAATACTGAGGGCAAAACAAATGTGGTACTTTTTAAAACCAATTACAACAGAGATGAAATGCCAATAAATATTCAACTAAACAACTGTATATTTAAGGTCTTAACTAGTACCAAGTTTCTGGGGCTATATATTGATAGTTTTCAGTGCTGGGAAAGCCATGTTGAGTTTGTATGTACAAAACTGAGCCAGATCTGTTACAGCATCAGAGTTGTGAAGAAATATTTGGAATGGGATAGTTTAAAAAAGGTATACTTTGCAAATTTTGAATCCAGAATTAGATATGGAATAATATTCTATAGTGGGAGCAATTGAATTGAAAGGGTTTTTTTAGTGCAAAAAAGAATAATGCGGATTACGCTCAGTTTGAATATGAGAAAGTCGTGTAGAGGTAAATTTAGAGAAAATAAAATCTTAACTGTGATAGGCATATACATCCAGGAATGCTTAATTTTTTTTATTTAAAAATAGAGGTTTATTTTCAAATTTTGAACCAACAAATGCTTATATATTGAGAAATATAAACCTAGTATATCCAATACATAGGCTGACATCTACATAACATGTAGCAGGGTACAGCCACAGTTTATAGCTAAAGAAACAGTTTGCTCACTCTGCGTCGGTACTTTTGATCTCAATGTTCCAGTTTATTCACTGCGCAACTCGGATTTGCATCCCTAGCGCATACATAATCAAATAATAACCAATACAATATATGACAACCGCCTAAATTCAAACAGCAGTCTTCTGCGCATCCTGAATTTATATCCCTGGAGTGGATATTATTTTGGAACATTCAACTGGTCCAAGTGAGCTAACTGATTCTTTAGCAATAAACTGTGGTACAGCTGTGTAAAGTTATACAATAAACTGACTGCTTCAATAAAAAGATTAGCATATGTAAAAGTATTTAAAATTCTTAAACATGTACTTCCATGTTTAAGAATTGTCTTACTTATATGTATTATGATTGTTCCTCAAAATAAAGATTATTATTAATGAGTACAAACGTAATCTGTGAATAAAAACAGATATCTTTTAAGACAATATTTCTATAAAAAAAACTAGTATGTCTACTCAAAGGGTAAATAATTTACAAATGCTACACATGGAATATCAACACTTTTTTCTTTCTTTTCATCTCCCTACCTTTTCTTTTCTTCTATCTTTACCCTTTCTATATCTACAAACCTTACACTCCTCCTTATTTATCTTTCAGCCAGACCTCTTATACCTAGATCGCATACCTGCATATTCCTTATCCACTATATTTTTATTAATCAAATACCTCTTTCTATCGAAAATAATAAAAAAAAAAAATTAAAAATAGAAATGATGCTACAAAAACTAAGCATTGGTATTGAATTAAACTCAATGCCCTATTTAAATTAAATAAATCATTTCTAACTAACCTACATCAACTAGGCAATGACCTACTACACAGTTAATAGGTACTTTTTAAACAGATTTTATCATCAAAAGGGGAAAAACAGTTACCCTTGTATGATAGTGATTAAAAAATTGGAATCTATAGGAATCAAGGAACTGTTGGCATGGCTTAAAACATACTTAAATGATTGACAACAAATTACAAAAGTGAATGTCTTCTCAAATCATGTTAATTCAAAATATTATGTACCCCAAGCAAGCATACTAGACCCCTTACTTAATTTACATTAATGACATTGACACACATGTGATTTTATCAACTTGTTTGCAGATGTTACAATATTGTCTGTGTCCCATAAGAAATATGATTAATTCTTCCTTAAATCAACTTCAAAAATGTTTCAACATTAATAAGTTAATATTAAATGTAACTAAAACCAAAGATATGATCTTAACAACAACTTATAAATACACAACTATATTTTTAGACTGTAGCTTTGACTATAATGATGGACAGCAATCTGTCTTTCAGTGATCATGTTAATTACATTACAAGAAATATATCAAAAAATTATATTTTTTTTTTACATGTACTTCGAAGTACTTATCAATGACATCTAAGGTTACCATCTTCAATATAATTATATAACTGCATTTTGACTAATGTAGCACTTTACAAAAGAAAATAGTCATTACAAAAGTTGCAAAACTGTGGTAAAAGAGTTATCTTAAACTACAAGTATATCATTTACGCTTAATGAATTACAATGGTTTTCATTAGGTGATAGGTTGTATAGAATATCAATATGGTTATAAAATTAAAAAAAAAATGTACTGTCCTCTTTTAATAATTTATTGTTTATTGAAGAAATGCATATGTCCATGACACTAGACAGTCTGACAATTTTGTTTTGCCAAGATATAAATTATCCAGGTAAATTTATTTATTTACAGGAAAATCCCATTTTACAATAAAAAATATAAAAATGAAAATATTACCCGACAAAGAACTCAAAGGTATATCTAATTACCAACAAATATTATTTAATAAGGAATTAATTAAAAGTATTAAAAATAAAAATAAATTATTAAAAATACCTAGTTTCATTAATATAAGGCTTTTAGGGGATTATCAACATGTATTTTTTTTTTTTTAGTAATATTTTAGTGCGTTTTAGGAATGTTCAACGAGTTTTATATTATGTACATATATTTCAAAAACACCTTCTATATATTCTGGTTTTGACAAATAAAATTACTAACCTGCATCGATGACGGCCTGGACCTGCGACCTATTACCGGCAGTAATATTCGACAAAAACCATACGGCTTCCTTGCAAATTTTCTCTTTTGGGTGTATCAGTAGATTAGGGAAGTGACTCAGAGCGTCGCAGTTCAATACGACTTGCGTTTGCTCATCAGTTCCGGTTACAATGTTACCGACGGCACGTAGGGCGGCAGTTTGCACTTTGACTTCTTTGTGGCTGAGTAAGGGAATTAGTTTGGGCACTACGCCACTGTCTATTACCATTTGAATTTGATTGTTGCCGCCGTCAGTCAGATAGCTAAGAGCCCAAACTGTGTCTACTAGAATCTACAAGAAATGTTTTAGGATTAAGAATAAAGTTGATAAGTACCACTAAATGGAAAAAATTCGGTAGTAAGTAAATGAAGCGAGTTCGGAAAAACGCTCAGACACGTCGATTGGTATTTTTAGTTGCACATTTTTTTTTAACAAAAACTTTTTATACAGGGTGTGTCATGTAACAGTGGCCAATATTAACTTTTTTATTTTACACCCTGTATATTTTAAACTGTTTGGATATTTCAGAAAATTCTAGACATATTTTATGTATTATTTATTGTTTCGGCCTTTACTTGATGAAAATCGATATTATCTTAAATGAGTAAAACTAAATTTGGTAGATTTTTCACAAAACCTTTTTTTTAAATAAAAATCTCAGAAATTCATTAAAACTCTTACATAATAACAAAAAGTTTATGATAGTATGCCTTTATAGATCTCCTAGTACTGGAATGAATTTATTTCTAGACTTTTTTTGAAGAATGGTGTGAGCTGAATTTAACTGATGCTAACTTAGAAGTTTTTTTGGTTGGGGATTTCAATATTGATGGGTATAGTAATTCAACTTATTCAAAAAGATTAAAAAATATTGTTACTGATACAGGTTTTAAGAATGTAATAAAATAATTTACACGTGCAAATACTTATGGAGGATCATTAATTGATTTAATTATTACAAACTCAGACATTACAACTGAAGTAATACACACCAAAAATCAGTAGACACAGAAATATTTTTGCAAAACTAAACAAACAAACAAAAAAACAGAAAAGAGAAATGATAGTTATTGAAAGTAGAGGTAGGTTTATTGATTATGCAATAATTAATAATAATCTAAAAGATATTACATGGAATTATTGGTTACATGATATTAATGAAAAATACAGAGATTTTTTAAATAAAATTTTGAAAGTTGTCAATAAAGTGGCACCAAAAAAACAAGTTAAAATTTTACCATATTATCAGAACTGGTGGAATGATCAGGTTAGAGCTACTACTAGTGTGAGAGATAAAAGTTATAAAACATTTATTACTAAGAAATCAGAGGAAAACTGGAAAATATATAAACGTAATAGGAATAAAGCAGTGAATGCAATTAAACATGAAAAAAGCAAATACTTGGAAACTAAAATAGATTTAAACAAGGGTTACCCTACTGAGATGTGAAAAACTTTGAAATCTTTTATTCCAACAGGTAATATCACAAGCAGTTTTACTAATACTGATATTGAATTCGACAATATTTGTGACAATCGTCAGGATTATCTGATTATACCTCATCTAAGTGAAATTGAAACTTTTGTAAATTTTAAACTAATTAATTATAATGAATTAAAAGAAATATTATTTTCAATGTCAAATAAAAATAGTCCAGACGAAATATCCACAATTTTATTTAAAGAATGTTTTAAGAGTTTATCCCAACCTCTATTACATATCATAAATTTTTCTATTGAAACAAGCTTAGTTCCGGACGATATTAAGATTGCTACAATAATTTCAATACGAAAAATTTCGAATCCAAGTAAGGCTACCCATTTAAGACTGATAAATTTGATCAGTGCTGTTGGAAAACTAATAGAAAAAGTAATATATCTTCAAATTATTGATTATTTAGAGGGGAACAGTTTGATAAGTAATGTGCAATCAGGATTCCGTAGTAAACACAACTGAGAAACTGCTTTACAGTTGAAACTGAAAGTTATCACTTGAAAATAATTTGGTTACACTGGCAGTGTTTTCAGATTTACAGAAAGCATTTGAAACTATTAATAGGGGTAGATTATTAATGAAATTAAGAGCTATTGGTTTGGGGGGTTGTGCACTGGTCTGGTTGGGTCATTATATGGAAAATAGGAAACAGAATTCTGACATCCAAGGACCTAGGTGAAGGATACCTGTATGTAACAGGATATTATTCTTTAAAGTAAATAAAAACTGTATTTTTTTATCTTATTCTACAGTGTGTCTATTTAAGTTGGAACCATATGGAAAACTTTATTATTGGTTTTGGGAAAAAATTAATTCTTGATAAAAAGTTCTGCATGGTTCAAAACTAGAAACATCAGATATCATTTTTTTTTTAGCCGTACACAAGGTATGTCAAAAAACATAAAATTTAATCAAGAGTAAAGTACCTTAATTTTTTACAATACAGAAGAATGTTATAAAGTTATTTTGAATTAAAAGTTCTATTAAAATATGCAATTACAGCTATTTTGCATTAAAATTCAGATTTGGTGATTATTTAATTCATAACTACAAAAAATATTTAATAATGTAAAAGGTACTTGTGGAATCTCCAGTTCATTCCAAACTCTTTTAAAAGACAATTTTAAGGCTATACGTTTTATGTATACAAATCCCTATTAATACAAAATAATGCACATTGTATGTCTGTTATTTGAATTAATATGTAACTATCCAAATACTATCAATCACAATCAACATCTATAAATTAAACAGGTCAATAATTAATAACATTCTTTGATAATGAGTCACACATTAAATATGTAATTAACTTATATACTTACATTGACATCTGTGTGATGAATCAGAGCATTAAGAGCAGGTAGAAGTTCTTCTATTGTATGTATAGGTGGAGGAGGATCTTTGTTTCTGCAGAGATTCACAATGACCCAAGTTACATTTCTTAAGAACGAAATAGGTATTTCAGGTTTTATGAAAGATAACAGGGGGTCTACAACACCCAATTCTATAACATAGTCTCTAAGAATAGGTCCGTCACCTATTATGTTTCCTAATGCCCAAACAGCTTGCTCACATACATTTTGATGGGGAGAATGAAGTAACATGAGGAAAAGTGGAACTGCACCTACTCCTACCACTTTATTTGTTTGTGCTGATGTTCCCGATGCGATGTTTGTTAATGCCCAAGCTGCTTCAAACTGTAAAGAAGGGTTATCTTGTCTTTCTAAGCATTTTACAAGTATAGGTAGGATCCCACTCGCTATCAGAGCATCTATAGGAGGGTTTCTATCTGAAGAGAGCAGCTTTCTAGCAGATTGAACTGCCATTAACTGCACAGAAGGATTATCATCTATCGCAGCTTGTTGTACTAACTGTTCAAGATTAGTATTTGATAAAGATTTTTCAATATCATCTTCATCGGTTGAATCAACAACTGGAACATTACGCCTTTTTTGTAAAGTCTCCTCGCGTTTATTTTTCCTAAGTTCTACAGTAACCTCGGTCCTTCTCCTTCGCATTTCCTGAAAATTAAAAAATAAATAAATCCTTGACATGTGGATTTGACCTAAAAAAAATCAACAAGAAGATCAAAGAACTATCGTCCAAATGAAAATATTTACTGATTCTAAAAAATATTAAGTCATGATTAAAACTATAATCAAATAATTTACTTACATCTTGATCTTTTCCTTTGTTCTTGAAATTTTGCAGACGATTCTTGTTCCCCGGATCCGCCATTTTTTACAATTTTGACAATACTAAACACGAGGAAAAAGCCGGGTTAATGTTTAAATCCACTATCTAAAAGCTCTTTGAAAAAAGTACATAAATAGTTTTTATGCCTAAAAATTCTAATTATCACACTTTGCGAAAAACTTGCCTGATAAATAACACGACTTGTTTATAATATTGGAAAATTGCTCGCCTATCAGATTTCTAGTTACTTTCATTTTTCACTAAAACATGAATTTTGTTGGCAATCGGATTCTTCTTTTCTGTGGCACCGGCCACGGTTAAAAATAAGTAACAGCCACATTTAATTATTAACAAAGTGGTTTTTGATAAAAATTATTTTTCTTTTTTAACTTAAAAGGGCAACCATTTTAAATTCCTTTGTTCAAGAGCAGACAGAAACAATTTTTGTTTATTCTTTAAGATTAGTCTGAATGATTCACAAAAAATGTTTCTAAAGTAGTTCATGACCAACACTGGGATTCTCATCTTTCAATTCGGCACGTGTTGAGACGATTATCTGCTGCGTTTGAGAATCCACATCGGATGCATTTTTTACATCTCGAGCGTTTTTTTATCCACATCGGACACATCTGTCCCATTACATTTACGTATACTGAATCACGTGATCAAAGATTTTTTACATCTCAGATGCATCCGATGTGGATTCTCAAACGCGGCAATCTTCGTAAAGTATGTGACAGGTGACAGAATCCATACTTTTCTTTTACTATACGGAGAATGGTCGCACTGCGCAGCTTTCTGAGTGCCTTTTAAAAGGAGATAGAAAACTCCGCCATTTTGATCCCTTATTACGTGTTGCCTACATCTTGGCGCAATATTTTTAATAGGTGCGTTTTAATCATCCGCTTCTGCTTCGGAATTGTCGGTTTTCTTGTTTTAATCTGACAGGTTAGAACGACTGAACCGACAATTCCGGAAGCAGAAGCGGATGATTAAAACGCACCTGATATTTTGCTTGCTGCTGTCAGTGTCAGTGAATATTATTTTTGGAGTCACAGTTTTATTGCTAAAGAATCAGTTAGCTCACTCGGACCAGTTGAAAGTTCCAAAATAACATCCACTCCAGGGATACAAATTCAGGATACGCAGAAGACTGCTGTTTTATTATAGGCGGTTGTCATATATTGTATTATCCGAGTTGCGCAGTGTATAAACTGGAACATTGAGATCAAAAGTGCCGACGCAGAGTGAGCGATCTGATTCTTTAGCTATAAACTGTGGCATAGGAATCAAAATGGCCGCGCCCTATGTTGGGCGTGTCGGACCTCTCTCTTGCACCGTATAGTAATCAAAGTATGTGTCTAAGATAGACTCGCCCTTCACCACATACTTTGATTTTCTTTTACTATACGGAGAATGGTCCACATACTTTGATTTTCTTTTACTATACGGAGAATGGTCGCACTGCGCAGCTTTCTGAGTGCCTTTTAAAAGGAGATAGCAAACTCCGCCATTTTTAACCTTTATTACGTGTTGCCTACATCTTGGCGCAATATTTTTAATAGGTGCGTTTTAATCATCCGCTTCTGCTTCGGAATTGTCGGTTTTCTTGTTTTAATCTGACAGGTTAGAACGACTGAACCGACAATTCCGAAAGCAGAAACGGATGATTAAAACGCACCTGATATTTTGTTTGCTGCTGTCAGTGAATATTATTTTTGGAGTCACAGTTTATTGCTAAAGAATCAGTTAGCTCACTCGGGCCAGTTGAAAGTTCCAAAATAACATCCACTCCAGGGATACAAATTCAGGATACGCAGAAGACTGCTGTTTTATTATAGACGGTTGTCATATATTGTATTATCTGAGTTGCGCAGTGTATAAACTGGAACATTGAGATAAAAAGTACCGACGCAGAGTGAGCGATCTGATTCTTTAGCTATAAACTGTGTCATAGGGTTCAAAATGGCCGCGCCCTATGTTGGGCGTGTCGGACCTCTCTCTTGCCCCGTATAGTAATCAAAGTATGTGGAATGGTCGCACTGCGCAGCTTTCTGAGTGCCTTTTAGAAGGAGATAGAAAACTCCGCCATTTTGATCTCTTATTACGTGTTGCCTACATATTGGCGCATTATTTTTAATAGGTGCGTTTTAATCATCCGCTTCTGCTTCGGAATTGTCGGTTTTCTTGTTTTAATCTGACAGGTTAAAACGACTAAACCGACAATTCCGGAAGCAGAAGCGGATGATTAAAACGCACCAGGGGGTTAATTTTTGAATCATTCGCCACCCTGACGTATGCGAAAACGTATACTTTTACCTAAACTGTATTTTTGACTTACTCGATTCGTTTTCGCATGCGAAATTAACGTCACTTGCAAATAGGCATTTAATAGGTTTTGCATGACATGACGTTTAGTCATCTCGGTAAAGCAGTTTCATACTAGATTTCTATTGGTAGATCATCGAATTTTGCTGAAATAATCTACAACTCTTCGTTAGGTTGATCTGTTCGCAAAATATTTATCGAAGAGCATTCAAAAATATACTTTCCTTGACGCATGGCTCTATTTTGTTTATTATAATTTTTTTTTAGAAAAATGAAATCTGCCAATCGCTCTCAAATTATGCGAACTACCACCCCTACAAATTTGGACGCCAAGTTCGGAAACACCCTGTATAAATAAAAAACTAAATAAAAGTAATTAATGTGTCATGTAATCTGTTACATGGGCTGAACTTTTCAAATGTCGCCCGTATAAATATGTCGTCACATATCATCTGCCATGATGTATGTCACGTTACCTGTAATGTTATATGTCACATTATCTGCCATATGACTTGTCATATCATCTACCGCTGTTGAATTTTTCGAATGTCCCCCGTTTACGTACATTAGTATCTATTTTGTTTAAAATCCAGTTTTTAAAACACGGGTTGCACTCCGGGAGTGCCGACAGAAGTGAAAACTTGAATATTAACGTTGTGCATTTTTGATTTTTTGGAATAGTTAGGGAATAATTTTGAACGAATGCCTATTATTATTCCAATTTATTCCAATTTATTTAAATTTATTTCAATTTATTCCAATTTAAAAAATATCGACAATCGAAAGAAAACAATCGATTATTCGATTAATCGATTTCGATGTTACAACACTACTCTCCAACCGTCTTACGAATTTTCGATCAGCATACGTGTCCTGACGCGAGTTTCACAGTTTTTACCCATCCCACAAAAGTGCTCAACGCCGCTAAAGAAGTTTTCACTTCAAAAATATCTCGGAAAATCAGCGCAGATATAAAAAATTGTAAAAATAAAAGAGACTATAGAATTTTGTGTAAAATGTCTCTCCTGAATTTTATTTAAATCGCTTGACAAACAAATACAGGGTGTCCCGAAATTAGACGGTCATATTTTAACAGCGTAATCTAAATCCTAAAATAGGAGTAAAAGTTCATATAAACATAGGTCCGAAAACGTTTCTTTTCCGAGATACAGGGTGTTTAAAGTGAAGTCCTGATGACACATTTTTGTAAATATTTTCTAAACGCTTAAAGATAACTAAATTAAATTTAGTACAAATGCTTACCTTTTTACGCTCTATGTAATGGACTTAATCTTAGTTTTTGATCATCTTCATAGATGGGTAAATTAGGGGGGGGGGGGGGCTTAAGGTAAAATTGCCCTAAGTTTTTTGATCTTGTTGCAACTCGCTAGGACGCACCATTTTCAAGAAAAAAGTATTTGAAAATTTTATGATAAGTTCATATTATTTTATTGGAAAGTGCAAACAATAATTAGCAGGCCTGTGGAATCAGAATTTTTTTCAGGTTTGGAAAACCGGTGACTAAAGAAATGTATTTAGCTTTAATTTAATGTTTATTTTATAAAGAAACTTTAAATGGTAAAACTAAATAGTATTTAAACTTAAACTAATCAATTGTTTTTTTTAATGGTTTGGTTGGCTTTTGCCCAATAAAATGATTGATGAGAATTTATTTCTTTAACTGCCGACGTTTAAACTCTTTTAGGGTAATCCTTTGGATGGTAAAAATTAGTCAGATACGTTAAATATCGTAAAACTATATCAAAACTGTATTTGAAATTAAGAATAGCTGGTAATTTCTTGAAAATATGAAGTTTGACTGAGTTAGAGAAGAAATCATTAGTTACCTACTTTTAATTATTGCAAATGCTATTTGATAATAATTTTAAGCTTTTTAACGTGAAGTATCTACTTTTATTTTCCTAAGGATGACTTAAAATAGGTGAAAATGACGACGATAAACAAATGATTCTCAAATATTGTTTTTGTCTATACTACTAAAAATTCTACTAAAAATAACAAAAATTCTATTAAAAATAACAAAAATTCTACTAAAAATATCAATTTATACAACATTTAAAGTAAGTGTTCAAAAACGTTGCCTCGCTGACGAAGGCACATTTCAGCTCTACGGGTAATTGCATGTGAAGCTCGCATTACTTCAAAATTATTTTGCCGTATTTCATTCCCTGCCAAACGTATCCTTTCACGCAACTCTTCCGCACTGTCAACTTCTGTAGCGTATACCATATCTTTTATACGACCCCAAAAGTAATAATCTAATGGATTTAAATCCGGAGATCGAGGTGGCCACGGTATGGGACCACCTCTTCCTATCCATCTACCCGGAAATCTTTCATTTAGCCAATTTCTCACATTAACGCCATAATGAGCTGGCGCTCCGTCGTGCTGAAAGTGCAGCTGATGTCGAATATTTAATGGGAGATTATCCAGAATGGGTTCAAGGTGGGTTTGTAAAAAATTCAGATACTCAATTGCATTTAACCGAGCAGGAATTTCAATCGGCCCAATTAATCTGTCATTGATTATTGCCGCCCAAACATTAATAGAAAATCTATCTTGAAAAAATCGACGTCGCACCACCCGAGGATTTTCTTGTGAATAAAAATGGTGATTGTGAATATTAAAAACACCATCTCTATTAAATGTAGCCTCGTCGCTCCACATAATAAAAAGAAGCAGTTCCTGATGGT